AGGCACACTGGAGAAGGGTTCTTCCAGTATAAGTGACGGGGACAGAGCAGAGGGCACGAAGCACTAAAGGGCAAGGGGCACTCTTGGCCTGGCCATTTCCCATGGGACACGGATGCCTAAGAATTCCCTGTCTCAACACCCACCTGCCCAAATAGCTAATGATAAAACGGATTCGACTTCCTGTTTTAGCTCTGGCTGGACTGTTGGGGGCAAAGGTGAGCTGAATATTCCAGAAATGGCCCCTGACTCTTGGATAAGGCAGTTCTTTAACACAAAAGGTTGGGCAGAGGTGCCTCATGGAGCTCTCACATGCCCAACCCCAGGCGGGACCACACTCATTTCACCGGTTTCCCATCAAGGATTCTTTGAGATGTAAAAGAATGATGCTGGCTTCCTCGTGGCTTCCTCGAGAAAAAGCTACTCCTAGTCCCTTAAGGGTTCAGGAATTCAGAGCTCCGCTCTTACCATGACCCAGACATGAAAGGAGATGCTGAGGGCGAAGTACACAGCTGTGAGGATGATGGTCCCTTTGAACTTATGGAATAGGAGGTTGACCAAGCCAGCCTGGAAGACGAAGGTGTTGAAGAACATGAGGAAAATGATGATGATGTTGAAAAGGATGGCGATATCCTGGATGCTGCAAACATAAAACAAAGCACAGCCAAATGGAGGTCTGTGGGACGACCCAAGAGCTGGCCCTGGGTCCTAAGGGACACTATGAAGTCTGGCCTTCCCTGTGATCTAGACCTCCGGAAACTCCCCAGAGATAGCATGGGCTTTGGGTCCCAAATAACACGAGACTAAAACTACGGGCTGGCCCCATCACTTGAGCCGCAGTCCACAGACAAGGCTTTCCTGCTCTGACACTCTTAACTTCTAGACACTGGTGAGAAGACGGTTTCTTCTGTCCAAAGCCGGCCCTGCCTGTCGCATAACCTGGTCCCGTCAGACATTTTCATCTAGCAAGACGGCAACACCTTTCCCCCATCTTTGCACAGACGGTGCCTTAGTGCCATTCAGGTCTCAGTTCAAGTGTCCCCTCTTCAGAAAGACTCTTCTTTAACCCTACGCCTAGGGTAGCCCTCCCCTCCCCACCCCCACCTACTTCACATCCACTGTAAACATTTATTACTCTATAAAATTATCTTGAAAAAAATGGGTTCATTGTCCCTCTCAATGGGAGGGGTCAATGGGGGCTTCTAGAATGGAAGCCATGTGAGAGCAGGAAATTATCAGGTTTGCCACTGCAACTAGAACACGGTCCGGCAGGCCAATGAATACCCGTCACATGTATTCATGCGACAGTGCCGAAGGAAGGAAGACGGTGCCGAGAACTAGTCTTCTGTCGAGAACTTGCCTCATGGAGTCTCTGAATCTTTGTGCAGGAAAAATGCCAACCGCTTCCATACCATATAGAGAACTGATACGAGTACCCTTTTAACCTGCCATTTTGCAACCCCCTTTCATGGCAGAGTAAGCCAAGATTTCTACTCACAGAGGAAGAAAATGACACGGTGAGCAGTCTGACCCTCTGACTGCTCCCTGTATCCCAGGCCCCTGCTAGAAGTATAGAAACACAGGACCTCTGACATGTCTCCGTACCGTGGAGTACCCAACATGGGTGAAATTTGATTTTCCCTGAGGTTTTTCCATCAGCTACTTTAAAACGCTGAATCATAATCGTCGGGGCCTTCTAACTGCCTGTGTCCAGCTGTCCAGTCCCACCCCCTGAACTCACATGAAGAGCACCAACTGGACGACGGGAGCCATTCGGAGTAGCTCCGAGAAGGAATTGACGAAGAGGTCATAGGACAGCAGCAGGAACTGCAGGGACAACACCAGGCTGTAGTTACTGGTCTGGAGCATCCTGCTGCTGCTTTGATGGGCCCAGCGGGGCACATTCCACAGTTACCCAGAAAACTGCTCCTGGCTTTCTCCCCAGCACTGAGGGAGAAGCACTAGTTCCTCAGAGTCAGAGCTGTTCCCCTTGCTCTAAGACAAGGGCCTGTTGAGGACAAAACAAAACAAAACAAAACAAAAAGGTCGTTAGAAAGTCATTAATACAACATTCACTGAGGACCTACTACGTCCCAGGCAGCATTCTATGTGCTTGGGACACACCAATGACCAAGCCACTACCGCCACCAAAAAATCCACTAGTCACTCCTTCCAGGGACTCTCACCCTCCAACTTTCTCCATTCCTGGAAGCTTCTAAGTGCAGAGCTCATTTTGTCCTTCCTTCCTTTCCTTTCTTCATTTTAATTTACTTGATTGCTGTAAGTAATCTCTACACCCAACACGGGGCTTGAATTCACAGCTCCGAAACCAAGAGTCACATGCTCCTCTGACTGAGCCAGCCAGGCGCCCCAACGCAGAACTCTTTCTAACTACTTTTGGGTTCAAAGGAATCCAGGAGTACTACAAAGAGTGACTGTCTTGCCATGTAGTAATATTGATTCTAATACTAATAGAAGCGGCAAACCTTTATATATCACAATATGCCAGGGACTTTTTAAAAAAAAAATTTTTTTTTAACATTTATTTATTTTTGAGACAGAGAGAGACCGCGCATGAACGGGGGAGGGTCAGAGAGAGAGGGAGACACAGAATCCGAAACAGGCTCCAGGCTCCGAGCTGTCAGCACAGAGCCCGATGCGGGGCTTGAACTCACGGACGGTGAGATCATGACCTGAGCCGAAGTTGGACGCCTAACCGACTGAGCCACCCAGGTGCCCTGCCAGGGACTTTTTGGGGGGGGGGGGGCTCAAACTCATGACCCCAATATCAAGAGTCACCTGCTCCACCAACTGGGCCAGCCAGGCATCCCTGCCAGGGACTATCCTCAGCACTAACATTATTTAAATTTCATAATAACCCCATGAAGCAGAAGACACACTATCATTACGCTACCCATTTTACAGACAGGACACTGGAGGCGCAGAGAGGAAAAATTATTTGTCCAAGATCACATTGCCAGTAGCAGTGGCAGAGCTGGGATTCAGAATCAGGCAGCCTGGGTCCAGAGTCTGTGCTCTTAACTACTGCCCAAAGCTGCCTCTTATGTAACAGGCTGATATGTCACTAGGTGGGAAAGACGTTGGCACAGGAGAAGTGGGAAGAGGTGCAGGCAGAAAAGGCTGAGAGGAAATCGTGGTCTCCTGCAAAACTTTTATGTTTAAGGTGGCAGCCACATAGTGGCACCGGGGAAGGTACATTCCAAGGCCCAAGGTGTCCTGTGACCCCTCCAGCCGGGTGAAATCTACAAACAAATTTCAAAATCCTGTGAAGTGTAAGAGAGTGAAATTAAATTAACATCTGTAAATCGGGGCACATGGATGGCTCAGTCGGTCGAGTGTCCGACTTCAGCTCGGGTCATGATCTCAGAGTTCTGGGTTCGAGCCCCACCCCCGTGGGGGCTCTGTGCTGACATCTTGGGAGCCTGGAGTCTGCTTCAGATTCTCTGTTTCCCTCTCTCTCTTTCTCGCTCTCAAAAATAAATATATATTTAAAAAGTTTTAATTAGGGGCGCCTGGGTGGCGCAGTCGGTTAAGTGTCGGACTTCAGCCGGGTCACGATCTCGCGGTCCGTGAGTTCGAGCCCCACGTCAGGGTCTGGGCTGATGGCTCAGAGCCTGGAGCCTGTTTCCAATTCTGTGTCTCCCTCTCTCTCTGCCCCTCCCCCGTTCATGCTCTGTCTCTCTTTGTCCCAAAAATAAATAAACGTTGAAAAAAAATTAAAAAAAAAAGTTTTAATTAACATCTATAAAATGTTTTACAATTTACAAACTCTTTATATTCATTACATTATTTACTCCTACACCCATCTTGAGAAGGAGACAGTTATTACGAATATAATCCCCATATTATACAGTGGCTCTGAGAGGTTAGCGAACCGCATCCACCTCACCTGGTGAAGAAGCACCCCCCCCCCCCGCGCCCCGCCTTGAGTGGCTGCATGATGGCAATTTCACTCATTCGTCAAATAATACTGATAGCTATCACCCCCTACCAGCACCACGTTAACCTCAACCAGGTATAACTTCCTTTAATCCTCGCAACTGCTCTGCAAGGTAGTTAAGAATGATCCCCCGTTCTAAAGACAAGAATACAGGGTCAGGGTTCAAGTCATTCCTCCAGGTAGCTGGTGAGCAGAGCCAGGGTTCACAACGGGGGGTGACACCAAAGCCCGCGCTCTAAGCTAGGACTTCACGGGCCACCACGGAGAGCTGTCGTGAGGAACCGTGACCCAGAAGCGCCCACCGCCAAATCTACGGGAAGGATGACCTCCGCTTTAGGGCAGCAGTGATGCGCGACAGAACGAAGCCGTCTTCAGTCCGTCCCACCGCTCGGTGCCGCGTTCCCTCTGTCCCCAGGGCAGTTTTCCTCACCCTTCCCAATTCACCTCAACACGGGGCTGTCTTGGCGAAACACCCAAACCCAAACAGCGACAACGAAAACTCCGACCCTGGTCCCTTTTCCCCACTCCTCAAGCACGCTCACCTCGGAGACCCAACGTCGGTTGTCATGGGGACGCCGGCCTGGCTTCCGGGAAGAGGTTTTAAATCCCGGAAGTAGATGGCGGACGCGGGCGCCGTCCGTGCCGGGCTGTCCGCGGGTCCTCGGCTTTCCCTCCGCGCTCTGTGGCCAGCCCGGCCGCCATGTTTGGGCCCCCGCTTCCCTGGGCTCGGTCCTCTGGTGCCTTCCCGGCGTCGCCACGTCCAGCTCCTGTCCCTCCCAGTCGCTGTCCCGCGGTCTTGCTGAGACCCAGCCCCAGGCGAGAGGCTTCGCGTCCGCCCGAACGCGAGATGGGGGACGGGGTGAGAGGCAGGGCGGAGCCGGGGCGGTACTCCCTAGGGAAGAAACACCAGCGGAAGGACTGATGTTGGAGTCCACAACTCCAGACTTCATTTCCCAGGCGGCCGCGCGCGCGGCCGGAAGTGCTATGAGCCTATAAGAGAGGGCGGCGGCCCGGCTCTTTTGGCACTGGGTGGCGGTGCCCGGCGGGTGGGTCTGTCTCCGAAAGTCCCCGATTCCAATTTCCCGGAGTCCTAGTAGCCGCGGCGCCGGGTGGCGAGAGACCTCTGCGACCCTCTGTGGTTCGGGGGTGAGAAAGAGCTCGGGTGGGGAGTTCACGGACCTGGGTTCGAGTGCTGGCTCCGCTGCTATTTCCCCTCGTGCTGTCTCTACCTCTCGCTCGGGCTCAGCTTTCTTTTGTAGGAAATGGACACCGCTGTCCGTGCCCTTCCTTCTACAGGTGTGGTTGCACAGGCACGAAAGCTCTTCGGAAGTCGCAGTCAGCAGGCGGAGCTCCTCGCCGTAGTTTTCACCGAAGGTTAGCTAGGACCGACAGCCGCCGTTCATCCCCGCAGAAGAGTCAGGGATCGGGCTCCGGATTCCTGGAGCGGTTCTCCCGACACCGGAGCCAAACGGGAGCAGTCCGGAAGGGCGGGTCTGTAATCACTGTGGTGCTAAGGAGCACCTTGCTTACCTACCTCCTGGCTGGAGTTCAGGGGTCCTCACTCCTGAGCCCTGATTTTACAGAAGCTACGTTTGGAAGTGAGGCGTTCTTGGAGCTGAGGGGAAGTGAACCTGGGTTCCTGTACCAGCTCTGCCACTCACCGTGGCCAAGTCACTTTCTTTCTTTGGGTCCCGGTGATTTTGATCTGTCAGAGAAGCGTTTAGGACTTGAACCTGAAGTCTGATTCTCAGGATTCCTAAATCCCCCACCATTCATCCGGAAGCAGGAACAACAAATTGACTTTCTATCCCTTCATCTGCTTGTAGTTCTAAATTATAAAAGTAATATAAGAGCTTGGAATAGAGCCTTTTCCTAAGATTAAGAGCTGAATGGAAACTTACCCATTTCCTACTCCAGGGCCTGATGCAGCCAGGGAGAATCCTTTTTGTCAAGGGACCGAGGAAAGTATTAGGTTGGGGAGTATGTTTCTTAGATCACAGTTGACAAAACTTGTAACTTCCAGGCCAAATCTGGCACACTTGCATTTTTTTTTTTTTTTTTTGATTAAAAAAAAATGTTTATTTATTTTGAGAGAGAGAGAGAGTCCCAAGCAGACTCTGTGCTGTCAGCGCAGAGCTGGACGTGGAGCCCGAGCTCACGCAACTGTGAGATCATGACCTGAGCTGAAATCAAGAGTCAGGACGCTTAACCAACTGAGCCACTCCGGCGCTCCAAGGTTTTTCCATTTTTAGATAACTAACAGAAACGAAAAGGATAATATTTGTGATATGTAAAGACAACATGAACCTGAAATTTGCCCGCAAATAAAGTTTTTAGGGGAACGTAGCCGTGTTGATTTGTGAAGGTGTTGTCTGTGCCTGCTTTTGCACTACATCAGAAGAGTCGATGGCATAGTTGTGACAGAGACTGTCCGGCCTACAAAGCCTAAGGTATTTACCATTCTGGGCCTTTGTAGAAGCGTATGGGGATTTCTGCTTTGGAATGGGCAGAATCAGAGACCAAACAATGGTGAGCACACCCTGAAATCATAGCACAAACCTACTTTCTTGGAATAAATGAAAGACTGTTCTCGGCGTTTGGGTTGCAGTTTTCACTGTATTCTTTTTTTCTCTGTTTTTGCACACTCGGGCAGAGGAAGGGCTCTTCTGTGTACTGTGAGCAGTGTAATATTGCAGCCCTCGTTCAGGAAAGTGTCCCCGTTGAATATTCTAAGTCTGTCCCAGAGCAGTAATCCAGGAGGGTGGAGACAGTCTCTTTTGGGTTATATTTACTTTTGTTTTTTTCTCCTCCAAAGGAAAAGAAAGTCATGAGAGATATTGTCTGATGGATGGAGCCTGCTGACCAAGTGCTTCATGCTGACTTCACTGGGGGGTGACTGAACATCTGGTGACCCGAAACTTCCTCTGCTCTTATTGGGACTAAGGGGACGCCTCTGAGGCTGGGCAGCAAATCTCTGAGCTCAGGAGTTGAGTCAGGAAGCTTCTAGGAAGACATTCTTTTCTCCTTCTAGCCTTATGGAAGCTTGGTTTTCCCCCAGCCCTTGGATGTAACTTTCTCAGTGTGGTGACTGCTAACTTGGATCACATTGTGAGAGCTCAGTGTCTTTCTGATTAGGTGGACACCTGTCATGGAGAGAACTGGCGTGACATGCTGTTGGGGCCACTGAGAGGCCTGGGCAGCCACGGGGACCACGAGCTTCAGGCTTTAGCTGGTAGCTTGGATGAACTGCTGTGACAACATCGAGAAAAGCAGAATATTTAGCACTCACAGCGTCCTTAACGGACATTTTCTCACTTGACCTTTTTTTTTTAAAAAAAAACTTTTTTTTAATGTTTATTTATTTTTGAGAGAGAAGGCACAAGCAGGGGAGGGGCAGAGAGAGAGGGAGACCCAGAATCTGAAACAGGCTCCAGGCTCCGTGCTGTCAGCACAGAGCCTGATGCAGGGCTCGAACTCACAAACTGTGAGATCATGACCTGAGCCGAAGTTGGACGCTTAACCAACTGAGCCACCCAGGCGCCCCTCACTTGACCTTCTGACAACCTATGGTCAAGGTAAAAAAACAGGGGACTTGAAGCCAAACGGACAAGGATTTGAAACTTCCTACCCCTTTACTGGGTCCTAATGCTGGTATTTAATCTTTCTTTTCTTTTTTTTTTTTTTTAAGTTTTATTTATTTATTTTGAGAGAGACTAAGACAGCATAAGCAGGGGAGGGGCAGAGAGACTGGGTGAATCCCAAGCAGGCTCCACACTGTTGGCACAGGGCCCCACATGGGGCCTGAACTCACAAAACCGTGAGATCATGACCTGAGCCGAAATCGAGTCAGATGCCTAACCGACCGAACCACTCAGGTGCCCCAAATCTTTCTGACCCTTGGTTTCCTCCTCTGTAAAGTGGGGCTGAGGACCTCTCACAGGGTTGTCAAGGGGAGCACATGGGATCCTGTGTTCACAGGTTCTACTCAGTAAGTTCTATTCCTGTTATGATGCCTTTTTTCAGATGAGAAGACTGAGTCCTACGCATGCTAAGTGATTTCCTCCAGATGCCTCGTTTCATAAGGATCGGAGCCTAGGCCCGCACTCTGTCAGCCTACCACTAATTCTAAAGGTGAGGGAATCGTGTGTTACCTCCTTGGGAGTTCTGGCTGGTTTCAGGGACTTCCTTTCCTCTCTGTTAGCGGCCTCAGATTAAGGGATCCGGACTACAGCCTGCCGCGGTGTCCCCTTCTCGGTGTGAGTCTGCGGGACAGGGTGACCACCTTGAGAGCTGGGCCTGTGCTGCCTGCAGGTGTAGTTAGCGGAAAAGCCGGGACGGCCCTGTGGCTTTGTGCATTTGCCAGCCAAACCTCACGCCCACCTGCCTGGTGTTAAAGTGCAACTGCTTAGGGCCCGAGGCATTTGTCTGAAACCAGAGTTGGTTTCTGAGTTTATCAGGTACACGGGGAAAGCTAAAAATGAACTCTTGCTTTCTAGACTATGAGTTCTTGCTTCCTCCTTTCTCCTCTGAACTTTCCACGGAGGAAGAGAAAGCAGAAGTGTCAGGCCTGGGGACACCTGAGGGCTGTTGTCCAATTGCAAGTGTGGAGTGTGGGAGGTTCTAGAGCAACAGCCTGATCTTACTTCCTCAGTGGGAGGTTTAGCCCCATGGAGTTCACCGTCTGGGGAAGAACTTTTTTGTAGAAGTGGGAGATCATAGGACTTCCTCTCTTCCTTCTTCCTAATGATGGTGTGTTGCTCATTGCAGATTATGGTTTTGCCTCCTTCTGTTAGAACTGAGGGCTGAGGCGTTTCTATGACTGTAGCCTGGATTTTGATTCCTATCCCTAATTTTCCGTGGGGAGAGGGTGGGGTGGATTCTTTACCTTTTGGCCCTGTGAAGGGAGACTAATCGCAGGGCTTTGGGCCCAGAGCCTTGACGTCCGGCCCCGGCAGAGGAGGGCCCTCTCCAGAGCCGGCCACAGGCCCAAGCTGGCCGAACTGTGTACCGTTGGATGCTGGGGTGGGGCCAGCCTCACTGTCCATAACCAGAGATCAGGCCTCATGGGGCAGTGCCAGGGCTGGTGGCAGGAGATCTGAAGTGAAAAGCACCCACCCCTTGGGCAAGAGCGAGCTCAGTGTTCCCTCCTTTAGCTGGCGTGTGGGGTGCGCTCCAGCCAGCAGAGCCGGCGGGGACGTGTGACCTCTGCTGCTTCCAGGGGCGCCTGGTCAGAATGGCTGTCGGGTGGTTCTACTTGTCCTTCTATGCACTGTCGCTGCTGGGCCTGATGTGCGTCATCCTTACCATCTACTGGATGCAGCTGTGGCATGGTGGCTTTGCCTGGGATGGCACCAGCCGCCTCATGTTCAACTATCACCCCGTGTTCATGGTCGCTGGCTCAGTGGTGGTCTACAGTGCTGGTGAGTACGAGGCCCTGGGAGACGTGCTGTGACCCAGACCCGGCCGGGGCAGAGCTCTCCCTCCCACAGCCGGCTTTTGTCACTGCTGGGTTTGCGACTACGAGAGTGGGGGGAGGCTGGGCTGTCTGTGGCCCCGGGTGTCATTTACAGGAAGGTAGTAGTGAGGAGGGGGGCCATCTGAGAAGCAGAGCTTCACGGACACTCTGGGGCGGGGGGTTGGCACGCTTTTTCTGTAAAGGGCCAGATAGTAAACGTTCCAGGCTTTGCAGGCTCTACGATCTGTGTTGCAACTACCCATCCTTATTCTTGTATCGTGAGCAGCCATAGATGACATGAAAACACGCCCGTGACTGTGTTCCAGTAAAACTACTCACAAAAATGCATGGCAGGCTGGACTTGGCCCATGGGCTGTAGTTTGCCAACTTCTGCTTTAGGGAGCAGGAGATTGAAGCGTCTCATGACACGGGTCCTTCCATGAGGAAGCTGCTTACCCGTGCCAGGCCCGTGTTTGCCCCGTGCATCCAGAGCTGGGCCTTGGGCCCAAGTGAGCCTCACTTTCCCCACCTGTAAAATGGGAACGGTGATGACACTGGTCGTAGCTGCTTAACCTGTGCACTTCAGATACCTCAGCCCATTTTGTTCCTACGAGAAGCCTGTGAGATGGGCTCTGCCGCTCTCCCCATTTTACAGATGGGGAAACTGAGATTTAGAAACAAGAGGCCACAGAGCTGAGAGGCAGAGCCGGGCTGTGGACCTCGGTCTGTGTAACCCGATTAAGAGCCCGGGTTTGTGACAGCTAACTGCGCTTGTAAGAAGGTGGAAGAAATAATGAAAGCGACTTTGCTTTCTCACCCGCAGAACTGTGCTTGAGTGCATTTGTTATGTAATGACATATGTACACATCATTATGTAATGACAGACCGGTGGGTCCAAGAAACCCGCTTCTCCCTTTTTGTCACTGTTTTGTCTCCCTCTGCCCCCTTCACGGCTGAAACGATGTGAGGAGAGGAGATGCCGGGGAGTGGGTGGCCACGTGCTGGCATTTCCTTCCTCTCTGGTTGGGAGGCGGTGTGGGACTGCGTCAGGTTAATTCCCCCTAATGTGCTGGGGGAGCCGAGGGGAAGAGGCCGGGCCCTGGGACGTTCTCTCCCGCAGCATCGCTGGTGTACCGCCTGCCGCAGTCGTGGGTGGGGCCCAAGCTGCCATGGAAGATTGGCCACGCAGTCCTGCACCTGCTGGCCTTCATCCTGACCGTGCTGGGGCTGGTCGTCGTCTTTCAGTTTCACAACCACGAAAACACCGTCAGCCTCTACTCCCTGCACAGCTGGCTGGGCATCGTCACCGTCTTCCTTTTTGCCTGCCAGGTGGGTCCTCTCCTTCGGGTTCCCGCTCCCAGACGGCGGCCGTGGGCTCCGGTTGGGACTTCGCTGGCATCCGCACCAAATACTCCCTCCGGTTATTGCCCAGAGATGGCCCTGCAGGGTGCATCCCATAGAATCGGCAGCTTAAGTGGCCGCAGGAGACTGGTAGTTCCCACGCCCGTCCCCCTGCCCCTCCGTTGTCCTAGCTTTATCATAGCACATACCACGCTGATGCGGTCTGTGATCTTTTCCACCTTCCCCGTCCCCACCTTTCTGTGAACCAGAAGCAATTCTGGAAGTGGTTTCTGCACACTGACGTCAGCCCTGCACAGGCGAGTTTTATGGGCCGGGACTGGAAGGCAGCAGAGACATTACAAGGGTGGCTGGGCTTTCGGGAGACTGGGCTTGTAGCTGAGCATTTCGTGGAACATTCTGGTTCGGCTAAGAAATCGACCATAGTGCGGGAGCTGGTGGGAGGTTTGAGCTGGGAAAGAAGGGCGAGAGGCCACTGCGGGGTCGGGGGCCCAGGTGGGCGGGACGGCCTGCTACACCTTCGGGAACAGCACGGTGCAGTCAGGCACCTCCCTGTGTTCACAGTGGTTCCTGGGCTTTGTCGTCTTCCTGCTGCCGTGGGTGTCCGTGTGGCTGCGCAGCCTCCTTAAACCCATCCACGTCTTCTTTGGAGCTGTCATCCTCTTTCTGTCCATTGCGTCTGTCATTTCCGGCATTAATGAGAAGCTCTTCTTCAGTTTGTGAGTGGGATGGGGCCCCCAGCTCTAATGTCGAGGGGAAGGCATAGCGTCTTCCAAAGATGCACCCTGTGGTCACAGGGCCTCTCCAGGGGTGGGGAGCCTTTGGAGATGGGCTTGTTCTTGATCTGGAAGGTCATGGAATCTTTAGGTTGGGATTGGTAAATTGGTCAGCAAAAAATTTATCTACCATCAGATTGACTTAGTACCTACTGTGTGTCAGAAGCTATTCTAAGCACCTTAAATTTAATCCTCTGATCATTTTACAACATGGATACTGTTGTCATTGCCACTTACAAATAAGGGAGCTGGGGCACAGAGAAGTTAAGTAACTTCCCTAAGGGCACACGGCCCGAAAGTGGCAGAGCTGGGGGTTAAGATGACCACCTCATGCCTAACCACTACCATCCCCCATTATTTTAAGGCATGGGGGGTGGGTAGTGAAAAGCAAGGAAGATAGGAGGTCAGACTTGGGTTTAAGTCTGGGCTATGCCATTTACTAGTTGTACGACTGTGGGCAAGCTCATATTTTTGAGCTTTAGTTTCCTCACGGGTGAAAAGCATCCTGCAGATACTTGTGGTGGTGGCAGGGACCAGAAACTATGTTAACATTCCAGGTCACAGATGGTCCTTGGAAGCTTTTCTCACCATCTGTTAAGGGTGTTGGGTCTATCACTGGGCAAAAACAGGTGGCAAAAATCTCTCGAGGGCCCACGGTGTTTTGTCATCTTCAGGAACAACAACACCCAGCCATACTCCAGTCTGCCCAGTGAAGCTGTCTTTGCCAACAGCACTGGGATGCTGGTCGTGGTCTTTGGGCTACTGGTGCTCTATATCCTCCTGGTTTCGTCTTGGAAACGCCCAGAGCCAGGGATCCTGAGCGAAGGACAGGTACGGGGTCTTGGGTCTTTCATTCCAGGTTGGGATAGGGCCAGGCCTAGAGAAGGGTCACCCAGGAAGGGTTCGGGCCTTGCCGGGAAGCCCGCTCAGTAACATGGTGGGAAACCGGGTCGACTGATGGTGGGGTTAGGTTGGCTGATGGGGGGGCACTGTGTCAAAGCGGCTCATCCCAGCCATGGGGGCAAATGGAGCTGCTCAGAGGCTCCCGGGGCCTGTCCCTTGGGAGAGTGATGGTTACGCCCTTCTCCAAATTCCTGTGGCTTCATGAGGGGAAAGTGTGGCCTTCTGTCCTCCAAGGAAGGGCTTGAGCATGACGAGAGCATTCTCCCAGCTTGGGGGCTGGTCTTGGGGGCGGAGCTTATCCAGCAGGTGCTGGCTGACAGGTTTGGTGTGGGTTCGGTGTGTGGGTAGGTTTCCCCCTGAGGGATGTGGTGAGACGGGGGGGTGCATAGGACTGAGGGACTTTGGGGCTTCCCTGAGAGATGTGGTGGCTTGGGCGGGGACCGCCCTGCGGGTCGGGGGTCTGTCTGAACAGCTCAGGCCAGGTGCGACTCCTGCCAGTCAGGGGCAGTTGTGGTGTCCTGCCATTAACGCCTGTGCCTCTGCCTGTCTTTCCAGCCCCTGTTGCGTGATGGGGAGTGAAGCGGGAAGGGCACCCACGAGCAGGTGGAGGTGTTTCCCCCCAGAAGCTCTTCTCTGCCAGGGCCTCCTCTCTGGTTTCGGCAACAGACCAGCTTTGCGCTCTGGGCCCGAACCTCTTCTGGCCTCCGCGTGGGGCCTGCTCTCCCCACCAATCTCCTGCCCACCTGCTCTGCTTGGTGGCTTCTCTACCCCTTCCTGGCATCGACTTCTCGGGTTCTCCACACACGCCGCCCCAGCTGCTCACGCTGTGTGCTCCCTGCTCCCTGTGTGAAGTCAAGCTGATATCCCCTCTCGGCCCCTAAGGATCTGGTAGAGACTCTCTCCAGCTCAGATAAGCCAGGACGCAAGTGCAACCTGTACGTGGAAAGTGAGGGAGGTTAACGGTGTCCGGCAGCTTTCCCCGGAAGGCGTGCGTTATATTTGGGCCGCCCTGACCGTTGGGCGGCCAGCATCTGCCGTGCCCTCTATCCAGCCCGCCCAGACGTGAGGCTGGAATGGAGAAGGTGGAAGGTGATGGAAGGTGATGGAAGGAGAAGAAGGGCAGCAGAGGGGCTTCCGCAGAGAAGCTGAGGAGCTGACTGCTCTTTGCTGTTCTGTTTCGTGTCGCTGCATTCCTCGTCCACCTGCACTGTGACCACGTGCCTCCACCTCTCGCTGCTGCCACAGCCCTGGCCTAGATCCTGGCCTTTCCCTGTGACTTACGTGCCCGTCAATGTCGGGCAGCCCGAGGAACCCTGATGACCTACTCTCCCAAGAACCGTGTGACCCCGGCTGCCCCACAAGGGATGAGCCCCAGGGACGCCTCGGACTTCCGTTCCTGCCCCTGCCCGGATCAGGGCCTCCCCACCTGGCCCCGGGCAGGCTCAGCCTCGCTCTCTTGGCAGAGCCCCTGCCCAGCTGATTTGCGCACTCTAGCTCCCCATACAACAAGCCAAAGTTGTGGTGCATTGTGCCCGGTGGGCGGCTTTCCAAGGTGCTCCCTGCTGAGTACCAGAGTGCCTCATTTGCCCCCTCAGTGGCTACTTGCTTGACCAAACCCAGTCTCGTGTTATGCCTGAGGGCTAGCCGCGGCCCCCCCCCGCCGGGCGGGGGGAGCAGCGGGGGCGGGGACGGGGGAATCTGCTCCTCTCTGAAGTGATGGGGCCATGGCTTTTCCCGCCCTCTCCAAATGAGCCCTGCTGGGACCCAGCTCCATACTGCCGTGCTCAGTGACCAGCAGCACCAGTGCACTTACCCCTGGCAGGTGGTGAGGAGGCGGACCGTCCACCCCAACTCCATGTGGCCCGATGTCGGCAGGACTGTGACTGGACTTCCTGAGGGGATGGAGCCTTTGAAGCCACTGGGATGACTTCCAGGCACCTCAGTCACGTGCCCCGCGCCCCCTCTTTCCGTATGGGTGGAGCTGTAACTTGTTCACGCAGCTTGGTTTCCTTTAATCGTGTTTTAAAGAATCAAAGCCTTCTCTACTGTGATCACATTGTGGTTAATTGAGCTCCGGGAAACTTGTGAAAGCCTCAGGACAGCTGGGACCTTCAGAGTGGGGAGAAACACACCAAAAGGCTCCAGAGATCTCCAGGCTGCCCTCCTGGAATGGTATGTGACTCATGGTATGTCTGGACGTCCTTAATAACGAAAAGCTTCTGAGTACTTGGTTATCTCACAAGGAAGGAAAGGTTTCCTGTTTTTACAACTGGAACTCAGAAACTGGGTAGTGACTTGGTCACTGGTAGCGGAGATCACTGAGCCAGGAAGTGGTAGAGTTGGGATCCACAGGCCAGGTGTTTATGCCAGTCTCCTTCCCAGCTGCTGAGTGTGCGCACCTATGCACTGAAAACCATACCTAGTGACGAGGGACCCGAGGTGCAGACTCATGATGGACAGGGGACCCTGAACAGAGAAGCCCAGGGACTGGGGGAGCCTGCGGCCAACTTTGGGTAAAGTAAGTGACGGAGGGCCCCCTTCCCTCTGTGATCAGCTGTAGATACAGATGACTGCTGGTGGATCAGATGACCCGGCAGGAGTCGGGTGCAGACACTAGTGATAACAGGAACTCAGCGAGTGAGCACCTGGGCTGTGCTGGGGGCTTTGCCTTCAGCTCATGTCAGTCCCTGTCCTTGTCCCTGTGAGACGGGTACTGTTCTGATTTTACAGATTCCAAGAGGCTAAATAGTGGGCCTGAGTTTATGTAGCCGGTTTGAAGCCAAATCGGGATTTAGTTGTGTCTGAGTGCACACCAGTGCCTTTAACTGCTCCCCTGCACCGAGCACGGGCCAGGTGTGTGTATCATCTGTACCGTGCACCGGACTCAGCAGCCCCTCCTGCTTGCCCAGGTGCTGTCAGCGATTGCCCTAGGGACCTGGGGTTTGGCTTGGCTGCAGCTTCTGTCCTACCACTGAGCTTTAGAATATGGTGATTTCAAAAAAAATTATGTATAAAATACGGTGACTTCTTCTGGTGTCCTGTTTGCCCACTGGATTCCTGAAGGTTATCGTAGTGCTGAGAAAAGCACACCTAGGAGGTGTGGTGTGTGTACTGGAGGGAGAACAGGAATGGGATCCCAGTGGAGCCAGCCTAGCTGCATAGACCCTACCTTTGGGTGTCAGGTAGTAGGGTATGGGTCGTGATCATCTCTCTCTCTTTTTTTTTTTTTAATGTTTATTTATTTTTGAGAGAAAGAGACAGAATGTGAGCACAGGAGGGGCAGAGAGAGGAGACACTCTGAAGTAGGCTCCAGGCTCAGAGCTGTGAGCACAGAGCCCAACGCAGGGCTCGAACTCACGAACTCTGAGATCGTGACCTGAGCCAAACTTGGGATGCTTAACCCACTGAGCCACCCAGGCACCCCGGGTCATGATCATTTCAACCAGAGGCTGAGGCCTTAGTGCCTGGTGTATTGGTAGGAAAAATCTCCCTCAGCAGAAGCCGGAGCTCTTGCTTCCATGTGGTTTATTTGCTTGTTTTTCACATTGGCTCAGGGTCAAGGTCGGAAGGCCTTTCACAGGAAGCCTTAAAACCAAATTAGCATGGCCAGTTAAAGGCCATGTTGCCACCCAAGGAAAATGCCTATCACTGAGGCCTAGAGGTGGCTGGGGCAGAGCAGCATGACCCCAGAATTCGACCTCCCTGAAGAGGGAAAGGGCAGCGCTAAGGTGGTACATGACCCACTCTGGGCCTGCAGTTTCTGTAGGAATTCTGGAGGTTGGTAGAGGGTTCCCTGCCAAACTCAGGACAGGCCCTGGGGGCAAGGGGACAGGGAGGGTCACAGCTGGAAGACAGGAGGAACTGCCAGTGGCCACCGCTGAGCCGCGATGAGAGGGGCACAGAGGCCCAGGAGGCGCTCACACACGCTCGTGCTGCAGGGCCTCCAGGATGGCCCGGAGAATGGCGGCCGTGGCCACTGCCCCAGGGTCCGGCTGATCCAGCCGCGCAGAGCTGATGTAACTGGCTCTCCCGGCTCCCGCTTCCATAGTCTTGGTGGCCTCGGCTGCAGCCTCCGCACTCTGAGTGGGAACATGGGAGCAGGCTCAAAGACAAGCCACCAGGCCTCCTTCCTCCCATGGACCCTGCACCCCTCTGCCCCAGCCCTATCAACGCCCTGAGTACTGTCACCAGGGTGGAGAGGTCACCTCTCACATACGTCTGGCAGGGCAAGAATTACCATCTCCTGAGGGCTTGCTATGTCCTAGACACTGTGCTGGGGCTGCACATCTCTCTTAGCCTCACAGTACCCCTGAGATAGGTACTCCTCTCGCTGTTCAGAGGAGGAAACAGGTACAGGAAGGATATTAACTTGTTCAGGGTCACATAGAGATGGGAACCTAGTGGCTCCAAGCCTGTCTTCCTGGGTGGCTGGGTCCCAGCCTCACTCACCTGAACTGCTTTCGTCAAAACATGGAACAGATTGGCCCCTGGGCTCTTCCAGGCTTGGAGCTCCTGTCCTGCTGCCCACAGGGAATCCAGCTGGACAAGGTGGAGGGAAAGGGGACTGAGGAGAGGCCCTGCCACAGAGGGGGGCCTTCAGGGCCTCTATACTCAAAAGAGGGAAGGGCTGGGCTGAATACACACCATAGTCCTGTCCCCTGGAGCAGCCTTCCCGTACCTGGCAGGGAAAGACAATGTGTGGGACTCCCTGCAGGGAGTCACTTTAGGAGTGGGGATGGGGCCTGGCTGGGAGTGGGTGACATCATCCACTGCCCCCAGCCCACCCTTGGTCTCAGGCCCGGGGCTCTGGCTCACTTTTGCATGGCCTCCACGCCGGCATCCATGGCAGCAGACCAGGCTGGCAGGTCTGCCTTGACCTTGAGTGGCTGGGCCGCCGCAGTCAGGAACAGGCCATAGAGCTGGGAAGGACCAAAATGCTGAGCACACGGGGCTGGCCTGGGCCTTAGCCAACCGGGGGGATCCCTCTGTCAGCCCTCCGGTCCCAGGGGCTGCCGGCACTCACCGCCCCAGAGGAGCCTCCCATCTTCTCCAGCAGCAGGAGAGACAGTTTGGAGAGTAGCTGGGCAGGGCTGGCAGGGGGTGGACCCTCCTTCAGCCACCCTTGGATTGCTGCAGACAGAAAATCATCGAAGAATTCAGACTCTCCCATCTGTCTGGACCCCAACCAAGCACCCAGGCCTCGCTGCCAGGCTGAAGTAATGGCCACAGGAAGAGGCTGAGGAATCCAACCTCGGGAGATTCCCAAGGTCCTTTTCTTTTTTTTTTTTTCCTTAATGTTTGTTTATTTTTGAGACAGAGAGAGACAGAGCATGAACGGGGGAGGGTCAGAGAGAGGGAGACACAGAATCTGAAACAGGCTCCAGGCTCTGAGCTGTCAGCACAGAGCCCGACGCGGGGCTCGAACTCACGGACCGTGAGATCATGACCTGAGCCGAAGTCAGCGGCTTAACCGACTAAGCCACCCAGGCGCCCCCCCCCAAAGCTCCTTTTCTACACCCTCTGGGCAGTCTGCAGAGCGGTGGGAAACCGGGACTGACAGGGACCTTGGCACCTGTCACCCAGAAGCTGAGGCATGCCCCGGACACCCTCGGCCTGGCGTTCCCTGCCTCAAGCCCCTGCTTCACTTCTCAGCCCTTTGCCCTGCGTCCTCCTTCCTGGATACTCCTCGTCGGCTGTTTGCCTCCCCCACCCATGCCACGAGGGCAGGGAGTTTTATCTGCTTGGCTCACTATTGTATTCAGAGCCGCAGAGCAGTGCCAGGCCCGGGGTGGGCCTAATTCTTGATGGAATCCAGCCCATGGTGGCTGGATAATTAAGAGCCTTTCGTTAGTCTGGGTAAGCTGAGAAACATAAGGACAATTATATGAGTTTTCCTTGAATCTGAAAGTTATTATTCACTATAAAAGATTACACACTGGGGCACCGGGCTGGCTCAGTAGAACATGCGACTCTTGATCTTGGGGCTGTGAGTTCAAGCCCCATGTTGGGCCTAGAGCTTACGTATATACATACATATGTACATACGTAATTTTATCAAAATATTTTATTCTGCAATAACAACATTTCTACATTTATAGTGTTAGAAGAAACTTCTAAAAAAAATATTTTTTAATGTTTATTTTTGAGAGAGACAGAGACGGAACGCGAGTGGGTTAGGGGCAGAGAGAGGGAGACACAGAATCCGAAGCAGGCTCCAGGCTCCGAGCTGTCAGCACCAGAGCCCAACGCGGGGCTCGAACTCACGAGCTGTGAGATCATGACCTGAGCCGAAGTTGGACGCTCAACCGACTGAGCCACCCAGGTGCTCCTTAAAAAAATTTTTTAATGTTTATTTTTAAGAGAGAGAAAGAGCATGGCAGGGAAGGGCAGAGAGAGAAGGAGACACAGAATCTAAAGCAGGCTCCAGGTTCTGAGCTGTCAGCACAGAGCCCAACACGGGGCTTGAACTCACGAACTGTGAGATCATGACCTGAGCTGAAGTCAGATGCTCAACTGACTGAACCATCCAGGTGCCCCTAGAAGAACCTTTTCTTATGAAAACAGGTGAAAGGGATGCCAGGTCCTATGAATGACCTCAGGGAAAAATAAAAGCTGTCCATCCCATGTGAACACTCCCAGTGCTTTTGAAATTGTTCTGGTTCGGGGCGCCTGGGTGGCTCAGTCGGTTAAGCGTCCGACTTCAGCTCAGGTCACGATCTCACGATCTGTGAGTTTCAGCCCCACATTGGGCTCTGTGCTGACCGCTCAGAGCCTGGAGCCTGTTTCAGATTCTGTGTCTCCCTCTCTCTCTGACCCTCCCCCATTCATGCTCTGTCTCTCTCTGTCTCAAAAATAAATAAACGCCAAAAAAAAAAAAAAAAATTGTTCTGGTTCGTGAAATGCCAAAATCTCAGAACCAATGTTCTACATCAGCTCCTCTCTTAACCCTAGAGGGACCCTGGCACCAACCTCTGGCAGCACGGCTATGGGTGGTGCCACAATCCCCGTCGCCGGCAGCTCGATCCAGGGCATTCAGATGTTCCTCCAGGCCCAGGAGGGTGGCGCACACCCGTTCCAGCACAAGCACCGTCTGCCTCGAGGCTAAGCCTGGAGAGGGAGGCCAGCGGGGAAGAGGATGAACTTGACCCGTGTGGGGAGGCATGGGTAGGAGATCCCTTGTCTACCCCACACCCCTCGGGGCTCAGGCCAAATCCCTGGGCCACTTCCCTAACAGCACAGCTCAGTACCTCCTGTGGCAGTGGAATCGGGGACCTCCAGAGGCTCGGCAGGGGCTGCCCGGCTCCGCTTCCGCCCGGTCACGGAGACCTTGGCCACGTTGGGCCAGGCTGATGCGGTGGTTTCAGCATCTAGGAACAGCAGGATGACTCTTGTAGACACAGGTCAGCCGGTCAGGGATTAAGTGGGACATGGACTCCCCACCTGTGCCTGGTTCCCTCCATCTCAACAAGCAAGTACTGAGTGCCTGCTGTGTACAAGGGAAGTGTGAAGGGTCCCTGGGGAGGATCCTACTACCAATGCCTCAAGTGAGAGCTGAAGGCTGGAGAAGCCACAAAGGGCCTCTCCACAGAGGTCATGGTCCCTGAGGGGGTGTCTCCAAGTCCCCATGGCTCCTCCTGGCCACAAGGAGGCCAGGCTGGGATGACCCCAGCTTCCAGGTCTCACCGATCAGTTTCAGGAGAGGCTCATCCACCAGCAGAAGGGTGAGAGAAATGCCAGGCATCTCCAGGGCGGACATGAAGGTGCCCACTAGGGCACGGGCGATCTTCACCCCGCGGCCCTCTGCAATACCAGAGTGTGGAGGTCCATGAGGGAAGGAGAGGAAGGTGGGCACTTGTCCTCAGAGCGTCAGAGAAAGAAACGGAGAGAAACAAGGACTTTGGAAGCTAGGGTCCTGAGGTTAGTAGGGAGAGGGCCAGATTCCCTCAGGGATGCCCCGAATTACCACATTCCCTGGAGGTGCCCCCTCTATAAGGAAGAGAGGTAATTACAAGTCTCCTTTACTGAGTTCTCAGCAGGTGCCAAGCCGTATACTAAGTGCGTTATGTTTGTTTAATCTCATGGGATTCTCGTAACGACCCTATAAAGCAGGTACTACTGTTGCCACTTCCTAGCTGACAAGGAGACAGGCTCAAGGCATCCAGTCATCAGCTGGCAGAGTGATGGCCTGACTTGGGCTCGTCTGCCTGTACGCCCCTGCTCTGGGCCATCTCAAGACCCCATCTTGGCTGCTTTTCTCATGTCTGGCTTCAAAGGGCTCCAGGGGTCGGGGAGGTCCCCTTCCGATGCAGGGCTCACCCAGAGAGCGGACAGCCGCGTCGGCCATGATGCCCAGTTCCAGGAATGACAAGCCACCCAGGTTGTTGACCATCAGCACCACTGAGGAGCCTGTGGGCAGACATGACACCTAGGTGAGACTCTCCAGGCCCCCTGCCCAGAGTGGGAGGAAAGGCTGGGAGGCAGCGTGACAGCCCCTCACCAGACTGCACGGGCACATGGGACACGTTGGAGGAGTTCGTCATGTGGTCGAGCATGAGTGTCACGATCTCGTCGGCGGATGCCATCTGTCAGAAGGATGAGTCAGGGGTGAGCTGCGTTGGGAGGCCTTGGTCTTACACCAGCCTGGGCCACGGAGTCCTCTCACCTTTATCCGGCGCACGCCAGCTTCCCCGTGGATCCCTGTGGATAGACTTGGTCACCGTGGACCCACTCGGGGCCTGCGGATTTGCTCCTCATGTTTTGCTCAAGGATTTACTAAGTACTCAGCACGAGGCTAGGCACCGTGTATGTGAGGAGTGTCGGGGGCAATGGACAGAATAATGAAAGCTACACAGTCTGCTCTCTGGGAGCTTATGGCTGGGTAGTGGAGACAGCTAGAACCTAACTACTTAACTTTTAACCAGTTAAGTAGCTTTAACTAGAGGCAATCACGGCGAGGCCACCTGAGGCCTCTGCCTATCACTTCGGAAGCGTGGGGGGAGGAAGACGGGAGCTGGGTGGCCTCTGACCCCCTTTGAAAGAAGGGCTGATTTCTGGCAGAGGTAGAGGGGCCCAGAAGTGGTGTGAACAAAGACAAGGAGGTGGGTGGTGCACAGAGCCCCCATGGCCAGAGCCCTGGGCGTGGACAGTAAAGCAGGTAAAGAGACCAGGCAGGCCAGGCCAGAAGGGCCTCAAGTGCCCACATAAAAATAGTAAGACCCGGGTGCCCAGCTGGCTCTGTCGGAAGAGCATGCAAGTCTCGATCTTGGGGTTGTGAGTTCAAGCCCCATGTTGGGTGTAGAGATTACTTAAATAAACTTAAAAAAAACCCCAACAACAAAGACTACTTTGGCGCCTGCTCCAGGTGAGCAGGGAGGAAAGCTCCCAGGGCATAAGACGTGGGCAAGACCCAGGCGCAGGCACGGCCAGGACAGGGGTGGCCCCAAACTCACCCAGGCCTAGCTCCACCTCATCTGGTGAGAGCTCAAAGGTGGGTCTGGAGCCAGGGACGCTGCAGGAGGACAAGCTCACTCCCAGGGTTCCTGCGGGAATGAGGACAAGGCGTGAGAAAGATCCTGCTCTTGGCACTGGGCATCGGGCCAGGCAGCAGAGACACCTCGGGAGCTCTGCCCACGGCAGCCTCTTGGCTGACACAGGCCACCAGACTCTTCACCTCGGTGGTGGAAGAAAAACCCAGCTTGGGGACCCAAGCTACCTGTCCCCTGGAGCTCCCCCAGGAGACATTCCCTCAGCCCCTGGGGAGTAGCCTGGAAAGCCCTCCTATGCAGCTGCAGGGAACCTGCTCCTAGTCAGTCCCAAGGTCGGCCTCAACCTCCCACCGGCCCCTCCCAAATCCCTGGGCCAGCACTCACCCATGGCCTTGGCAACCACGCTCACCCGATTTGTGATTTCCTCCAGCCCTACACCTGCCTCAGCCAGGGCACCTGCCACCTGCACCCGCACAGAATGAGGGGAAGGGGTCACCATACCACTTAGGGGTAGACGACCGGCTGGGGCTGAGTTTCTAGTTGGGAAGAGGGCATCTCAGTACCATCACCTCAACCCGGCCCACCACATTTAGGGCAGAAGAATGCACCCTCTTGCGTTCATAGTGCACTTGCCAGGAATCTTCAAGAACCCCAATGTGTTGGGAGCCAGAAGAGACTTTGCAAACAGAGAAATGGACCCAAAGAAGGGAGGTGACTGGTCCAGTGTCACACAGCTAGTCAGTGGACGCCTGGCCAAGGAACCCTGGTTGACTCTCAGAAGCCTGGGGGGCTTTCAGCAGGTGAACAAGCTGGTCAGATACACATTTTCAAAACCTCTGGGGCAGGGTGGGGAACATACTGGAGGGGTAGGCAGGAAGCTGGCAGGGAACCCAGGGAGGAGCAGCGACCACCACCCGGGCACGAGCACATGGGCGCCTGAACCAAGGGTGGGACAGGAAGGGCAGGGCTCTGGGGCACGTGCGTCATAGGGGCATTTGGGAGTCGGATCACTAGGACAGGGCAACTGGGTGGGTGTGGGGAAAGGAGAGGGAAAGGTCCGGGAGAATGCTTCTATTCTCTGCTTAGGTAGTTGAAGGGGCTTCCTGGATCAGGGCGCACTGGGGAAGGAGTGGCTTCTTGGGAGGTGGGCTGGCTGGAAAGAGCAGGCTGGGGGTGGGGGGTGCCGGCCAGCCAGTGTCCCGGGTGGGAAATCTCACCTTGTGTATGAGCACTGTGCCACAGAGTCCCCGCCTGCCTGCCTTCTTCAGGACGGTGAAGGCGCTGTCATCCCCGATGACCACCATCTCCACGGGGATGCCCTCAGCCCGGGCCTGCTCCCGGGCCAGGCCGAAGTTGAGCCGATCCCCAGTGTAGTTCTTCACGATGAGGAGGGTCCCCACTGCAGAGGCAGCCGGCAGGGCCCCCTCAGTGCTTGGCCTCCCCGCAGCAGCCCCTCCTGCATGCCAGGCTTACCTGTGCCTGCCTGGGCCACTGCCCTGATGGCTGCCAGGATGCTGCCCACCGCCGGGGAGGTGAACACGGCTCCTGCGATGACCCCTGTCAGCATCCCCTTCCCTACGAAACCTGGAGACAGAGCGGGTGCTCGCTGGGGACCTGGGCCTGCAGTCCCCAGGGTTTCCCGTGCTCCTGGGCTTCACGGTTTGGCAAGGCCTACTGTGTGCTCAGTGCTGAAAGAACACCTGGGTCACCCTCCACAGACCTTTCCTCAGGGGCTGTCTCCTCGGAGGGCCTTCCCTGACCTCCCGGAGGCAAGTCCCTGCCTCATCCCCAGTGACTCCCTGTTCCTTTACCCTGCTCTCCTGTCTCTGCTACTTGACTTGCACGCTCTGGAACACTCTTCTTTAAAAAGAAAAAAAAGTTTACTTATTTGGAGAGGGAGAGAGAACCAGCAGCAGACAGGCAGTAGAGGGGGGTGGGCAGAGGATCTGAAGCGGGTTTGTACTGACAGCACAGAGCCCAATGTAGGGTTCGAACCCACGAACGGTGAGATCACGACCTGAGCCAAAGTCGGATGCTTAACTGACCGAGCCACCCAGATGCCCCTGGAATGCTCTTTCACTGTGTGTTTACCTGGTTACCGCATCTCCAAAGGAGAACAGAAGCTCTGTGAGGGCAGGTACCTTATCTTTCTGACTCACTGGTGCATGCCTAGCGCCCAAAGCAGTGCCAGGCAACAACAGGTTCTCGTGAATGGTGCTCAGTGGATGGATGGCTTTGCCGAGGGAGACAGGAAAGGTACAGACGATACAAAGCCCGGTCCCTGCCCCCCAGGATTGCTCAATGAAAACTCCCATGTCTGGCACTGAACAGGAAACAACCTAGGACTGTCCACATTATATGCGAAAATGCAGGGTGGGAATTCAGAAAAAGTATACGGTTCTAGGCTGGAAAAGTCAGGAAGGCTTCATGGAGGAGGGGAAGGGTCACGTGGGCCTGGAAGGCCAGGATTCACAGAATCACTGACTCGCAGAGCTGGAAGGGCCTCAGAGGTCATCTGGTCCAACCTTGTGCCTCAGAGACACAGAGACCGAGGCCCAGAGAAAGGCCACGACTGGCCCCGGATCTCAGCCTGAGGGACTGGGAGAGGAGGAACCGGGACCCGACCGGGGCTTTGTCCTCCACACCCAGGAGCCCCGAGGATCTCCCAGGAGCCCGTGCACTCTGCCCAGACTACTCACCGGCATGGGCAGGCTCATGGCCGGAGCCCCCACCCGACAGCAGTGCCACGCGGCCCTTGAGGCTGTCCAGGTCAGAACGGAGGGCCACGCGGTGGCCCTGCAAGAGATGCAGGTTGGGGTTGCAGGCCACCAGGCCAGCAAGGGCATCATCGGCACAGCCTGCCACCGTGTTCACCAGCTTCTTGGATGTCTGCGAGAGAAGAGCAGGGAGGAGGCTCCAGGTGTGGTTGGCAGGGACACGCTGCTGCGGCTAGGACCCCTTAACCGTAGGGAGACCCCAAAGGCCCAGCAGTTCCTTGAACTGGGCATGCCTTTCTTAGGTGGCTGCTTCTGGGAGTTCTCTTAATTTGGGATCATTTATTCAGGGCAAAATTTATGAAGCGCTTTGGACTATGGGTGAAATTTGGCTGGGAGAATGGCTTCAGCAGAAATAAAAGAGGGGACCTAGAATCCTGAGTATTACCGAAAGCAGTAACATTAGGGCCCAACAGTCTTCTTCTAAGGAAGAGAAGCCCTAGGCCGAGGCTCCTGTGCCTGGAGGAGGCACCCTGTTCCCGCCGGGCCTCTGGTGCAGGACAAACATTTCCTGAGCTTCTTGGTGTGCCCAGTGCTAGGCACTGTGTGCAAAGAGTTAACAGAACGCTGGTCCTGCCCTTGATGGAAGTGCAGAGAGATCATTTCACGTGCTGTGGGAAGTACAGCACGAGAGGAATGCACTGTGTCCTCGGTGGATCCCGAGAATCTTTGTGAGGACAGGTAGGAGGTAGGAAGGGAAAGGGCACGAGAGGCCCGGGGTAGGGAAAAAGGATAAGGATATTCCAGGTCGCGGGGGGGAGAGTCCACGCCAGGGTCTGGAGGTGTGAAAGCATATGGTGGCCGGGCCAGGAAGCAAGTTAGAATGACCTGAGCAACCAGTGACCGTCAGGAAGAGGTGGGCAGGTCCTCACAAGTAGAAGGTGGGACCTGGCCATGGGACACCTCGCTTGGGAGGGTGTGGGGCAGCTTGCCTGAGGGGAGAGCCGAGCTGACACAGGGTGCAGGCAGAGGCGGCCAGCGCGGGGACTGGAGTAGAAGAGAATTTGGGTTCTGCAGTCACGAGCGCTTGGGCTCAAAGCCCACGTCTGCCTCTCATCGGCTGTGAAGGCTCAGGGAAGACACCTCACCGTTCTGACCTCTGTCTTCCTTGGCAAATTGGGGACTTAATAAACTAGAGTGTATACCTGCTGTAGGGTCAGAACTGAATAAAAGGCAGCTACTCCCTTTTTCTACCTCGCTAGCTGAACAAGGCTTGCAGACTAGGGTGCGGGTTCTGCCTTTGTCCCAAAGAGACACTAGAGCCTAATACGGACCCAGAGGGCAGGATCCCAGCGCCGCCTGGTGGTCCAGGGCGGCTTTGAGCCAGGTCCTGTCAAGGCGCATCTCCCTGAGGCTCCTTCCCTAAACCTACGGGCATCCGGTTCCTTTGTGCAAACTCTGGCAGGGGCCAAAGCCGAGCCACCTGCTCTGGGATTAGGAGAGCAGCCCAGGTCAGCAGGAAGCGAGCAGAATAATAAGACTGGCTCTGTTCCCAAGTAGTGACTGAGAGCGAGGTCTGGGTCTAAGTGCTTCTGGGCATGTTTCATTTAATATTCTCAACCACACTATGCAGGAAAGATTAGCCTGGAAGAGGAAACCGAGGCATAGTTTAGTGACTTTGCCCAGGGTCACACAGCCAGTGAGTGTCCAGGTCTGCTTGGCTCCAAAGATAGTCCCATTTTAGCCTTATCATGCTGCTTTCCCGAGGGGCTGAAGGGAGGCGGAGAGTGACAGAAGTCTTGCCCTAGTAAGGGCATGGGCTTGTGGCTCGCAGAGCCCTCTGGGGACTGGAATACGCAAAGAAATTCTGAGTTGGTCTCAACTTCAAGCCCAGCCTCCAGAGCCACCAGCCTCCAAGAAGGTGTCCCCTTGCCATTCCTGACAGTCAGTCTTGCCTGGGATTTGCAACCAGAAGCAGAAGTGGGGGCTTGGGCAACCGTGCCAACCCTGGTTCCCAGTGGCCCGAGAGGTTAGAAAAGTAAAAGTAAAGGAAGTTGATTAGGCACTGAGTGAGGACTCCCAGATTCGGGTCTGATTAACACCTCACGGCCACTTGGAGGTGGGCCCTAATATGCCTCGCACGGCAGGTGAGGAAAACAAAAAACAGCCTCAGAGAGATCAAGTCTTTTATAAGAAGGTCACACAGCTGGTTGGTGACAGGCTGAAATGTGAACGCACATCTCTCCAAGGCCTGCTTTGGTTCAGATCTAGTTCTAGAGTGGACCTGGAGTAAGGCCCAGGGGCATGCTGGGCCACCCACAGTGTACCAGAGGTGTACCACCCACAGGGTGTAAGGAACACCTCTGGGACCAGCCCACACTTGCCTCAGGTTCAGGAACAGGCACCAGATCCTTCGTGACTCCTCCTGTGACTGCTACAGTGTCTATTACAGAATAGGCACCTGGGAATGTTTTAATCTAAATGTATGACCGAGACCAGGGGCAGATGGGCCTTGGAGGGACTGAGAGGCTGCAGCCCCGGGCCCGGCTGGGACCAGCTGGGAAATGGAGGGAAGCAGAGATCCGGCCCTGAGAGGGAGGATGACCCCCTCTCCTCTCATAACCTCTGTGAACCTCAGGAGGCAGCAGCGTCTTTTTGTCAGGGTGTAAGGAACTCCAGCATGCCTAGGGCTGGCACCCCCACTGCTCTAAGGCCACGGTATCCTTCCTCTGCCCTGGCCCCCATGGGACTCACCATGGTGGGGAGGCTCTGAAGCAAGCTGAGTTCACGCCTTCACGTTGAGCTGCCAGAGGCTGGGCGATCCCGTGGGTACTACCTGGGTCTGAGCACAGCAAAGGTCGTAGGAGCACCTGTAGGAGAGGATTACAGTATGAGCCGCTGGAGGCACTGGCAGCCTACTGGCACCCTGCTGGCACAATCACGCACCCAGGGCCCTAGTAATGAGGGAGCTACCCCAGACTTTGATCCAAGTCCAAACTCTAGTACGTGGGCTGCGAATGGAGAAGAGCATGGGGCTGACCAAGGTTCACACCTGCACTTGGCTGCCAGAAGACAGACTGATCCATGCTGGGCACAGGGCTGCTTTTATGCCCAAGAACAGCACCCACCTCATCACTAAGGGGCGTTTACCCACGGAGTAACTTCAACTCCTATATGGGCATCGCATGCAGTGAATTCATTTATAAAGATCTTCATGCAGTTGGTCTTGGCACCACACCAGGAAGGGAGCAGCTGAGTCTGTGACCCCATTTTACTTCTGGGAAAGAGGCAGAGAGCTCTAATGACTTGTCCAAGGTCATACTGGTAAGAGTCAGGACTCAAACTCAGGCCTAGTTTTTCTACAAAGCCTGTGTTGTTTTTACTGGCTATTCAGTGCTTCCTAAGTCAGGCAGAGTCCTTGTTTACGTAGGTAAACAGCAATGACTTTTTAGCTTCTCTCAGTGCAGCCTTGTTCAGAGGTATCTTGGGGTCATCCAAGGTCTCGTGCTCACTCTGCATCTGCAATAGAAAGAATCTGCACCCAGGGTCCCCACCTAGCTCTGCCTGACTTACTGGGGAGATCTCAGGTAAACCAATTCCCCTGAGCCTCAGCTTCTTCATCTGTAAAATGGGGGTTGCCTTCTCTGTGGCATGCTGTAGGTGCTCAAAGCCACGTGGTCCTCCTCCTACTCCTTCCTTGCAAAGCCTCTCTGAGGTGGAGTGGCCTGGAAATTGCAGGACTGCTTTCCTGGGCCATTATGGGTCTCACCCGGGGAAATTCCGGTTTTGTGTTTGAGGTCAGAATTTCTAAAGCAACGGGGGCACTAATAATGAGGGCAAGTGGCCTAGCGGGCCCTCCCATATCTGAAAAATAAAACACAGTTTAAAAGAGGAAAAGTGAGGCTCCTGGTGTCCTCGGGGTAAGGCAGAGTGATCGATCATCCTAGGGCCAGGTGAGGGTACCGACTGAGTTTGGAGGAACTGGGGATGCTAAGGAGAGAGAGGTCCGGACCTTGGTTCCAGTCTGGGAGGTGCACAAATCGCTGCCCCCTCCCTGACCCTCTTAGACCTCTGCAGTACTTCCGGTTCCAAAAGGGAGATCAGCCCCGAGAACTCTCCGAGCAATGGAAGAGAGAGAGGACGGGGGTCTTCGGTTGGGCGAAAGACGCGGACGGGGGCTGAGGGCAGCGGGTCGGTTCCGAGGGCGGAGGAAGGGGCCCCCACCCGCTCACGCCCGCAACAGCCACCTCCAAAACCGCAGCCGCTTCCTAAGGACCCCCAACAGCTCGCCCTCATCCGGGTACTCGGGACTCGGGCGGTAAGAGACGGGGCGGGGCCTCTAGGGGCGGGGCCTCTTTTGGTTGGCCGCCTAGGAAGCCGTGAGTCCTCCAAGAGGCCAGGTGAGGCCGTCCCGTGATGCCCTGCGCCCCGGCCGCTCTGGCCTGCAACGTGTCTCTGGGGCGGAGGCAGCGGCATTGGAGTTCGCCGCGCGCGGGTGGGGGCCCCTGTCTCTTCGCCTGTGTCCATTTCTCTATCGTTGCGCTCGAGTGCCGACGGGCCGCCCCAGACCTCGACATGTCGTACAACTACGTGGTAACGGCACAGAAGCCCACCGCCGTGAACGGCTGCGTGACCGGTGAGGCTGCCGGGGCAGGGGACCCCGCGAGGGAGGGAGCTGGGGGGGGGCACCGAGGCCTAGGGAGGCCCGCGGCCCCTGGGGCGGCCGGGTGGGACCGAGTCCCGGGAATGGAAGGTGCTGGCGGCCGACGGAGCTCCGCCAGCCCACGGCTTTAAAGAAGGTGTCCTTAAAAGAAGCACGCGCCTTTTGGGGAGTAAAAGCTGCGCTTGGGGGTCCCCTTTTCGTCCTGGGAGGTCACTTGGCCTCGGGGACAGGGACGGGCCCCACCGGGACAGAGAGCGAAGTGTGAGTGGATTGTACGGTGTTGCCGGGGGGGGGGGGGCCGAGATTGGCCTCGTGTGGTCAGGGGAAGGGGCGGTGGCGATGGCGACTTTCTTAGGGTCAGAATTTTCCAGTGGGAGAGCCTGGAAGGTGCAGGAGGTGGAGGGATGTGAGGAATGTACGCTCTCACCCGAAGGAGAGGAGTCTTCTCTGCCTGGGGCTGTTGTTTACTCGAGGGAGCTGCTAGAGCCGAGGGTTCGGATGGCCGGCCCTGTGTTGGGTTTGCCTTGTTGACTAGACAAGGATCACAAAGGACACAGATGTCCAGAACCCCGGGAGTAATCGTCTTGAACCACGTTCACAGCAGAATATGAAGGCCTCAAAGTTGTATGTTTGTGTACATCCTAATCACGATTCCAAAACAAAACTCTTGTTGTTTGGAGAGTTGGAAGCTGTGAGGGAGTGTGGACGGGGGGTTATTTGGTCGACTGCTGGGAAGGCAAGAGGTGTGGACAAAACAGTGTCTTGATATAAAGCTCTGAGAATTTGCATTCCATCTGGTCTGTTTGGTCAAGATTTTGTGAGAATGTAGGTAAGGACTGAATGCAGGTGAACGCTTTCTCCAGCATCCCTTACCGAGAAGATAAGTCTGCCACTGCAGTAGGAAAAGTAAAATTTGAGGGCACAGAGCCATCTGAAAGGTTTTCACAGTCATTGTCAGTTGAAGGACATGCTGCTCTTAGGCCCAGGCCAGTTTTCTTAGTCTGATTAGGGAAGTAGCTCTCTTGAATGTATGAAGTGAGACTCCCTGAGGTGCTGGATTTGGCAAGAAGGAAGTGAATGGAGGGAGTCAGAGAACTCTGAAATAAATGTGAATTCTGGGGGTACTTAAGGACAAGTGATAGGATTATTTAGATACTGCTCTGGCGTCAAAAGTTAGAGGATCTGTTCCTTTCAGGACACTTTACATCAGCCGAAGACCTGAACCTGTTGATTGCCAAAAACACGAGATTAGAGATCTATGTGGTCACTGCTGAGGGGCTTCGGCCCGTCAAAGAGGTGGGCATGTATGGGAAGATTGCTGTCATGGAGCTTTTCAGGCCCAAGGTAAGTGCTCTGGGTTGGGCCCAGCAACAAGAACTGTCGTGTGGATGGTTTCACTTTGGCTTGGGATGGGTGGAATGGGGTTTAGGAGAGAAGTCTCTCTGTCTCTCTCTTTCTCTCTCTCTCTCTCTCTTTTTTTTTTTTTTTTTGGATGGCACGTTTCAATTTATATTATTGAACAAGCTTCCTAGATATAGAACAGGGTCACTAGGAAAAAAGTCAGGTTGACTTCTCTAGAAGGGGAGACTACAGTGGTTTGAAATGTGGGTCACCATACTGATTCAGAGAGTAGGCTCTTGATGAGGGCCATCCTGGTTTTATTCCTTATTGATTCTAACTTTGGATGTCACCTAACCTTTCAGAGCCTCAGAGCCTTATTGGCTTGTGTGCAGAGTGGGGATAACGACATGAAATCTCCTGGGTTACTGTGAGAGGAAATGTTATAATAATAGGAGCTATTACATGGCAAGCATTTACTGTTACACTAACAATTATCATAGTATTATCGTCATCATTGTAACTCAAATGCTTCCATCTGTGTTGCTTCATTGTATCCTGACTCTGACAAGAAAGCAGTGGGTTCAAAATTTCAACTGTAATCCTTGGAACAAAATATTCAGTCTTTTGGGGTCTCTGTTAATAAGTAAGTAAGACTTTGTAGATCCATTTTAGCTCTCATCGTTATTCACATGTTTTTCCCTCTTCGAATAGTTGGGAGAGGATTAGAGGAGGCATTGCATTCATCTTGGAGAATTTGAATGGAATGAGAGATTAGCTTGAGATGGAAATAGACAAGACATTACTGTGGGTAGGGCAGAGACAAGTACAGTCATCAAAGTGAAGCCCAGATGTTTACCTGCTTTAGTTCTGGCCTGTTGCACACACCCTTAGGGTGTGTGTACCTGATGTGTGTTACCTATTCACTGGGATTTTTCTCTTCAGGGAGAAAAGAAAGTTCTTCTAGAACTTAGCATGCTTGAAGACAGAGGCTTAAAGGCTGGACAGCTATTTTTGTTTTAACAGGAACCTCTTTTAGGGGCGCCTGGGTGGCTCAGTCGGTTAAGTGGCCGACTTTGGCTCAGGTTATGATCTTGTGGTTCATGAGTTTGAGCCCCACGTTTGGGCTCTGTGCTGACAGCTGAGAGCCTGGAGTCTGCTTCAGATTCTGCGTCTCCGTCTCTCTCTGCCCCTTTCCTGCTCATGCTCACTCTCGCACACTCTCTCGCTTGCTCTCTCTCTCTCTCTCTCTTTCTGTCAGAAATAAACTAAAAAAAATTAAAAATAAATTTTTTTTTAAAGAACCTCTTTTAATGGTATCATGTTGGTTTCCAGGGGGAGAGCAAGGACCTCCTGTTTATCCTGACAGCTAAGTACAATGCCTGCATCCTGGAGTACAAGCAGAGCGGCGAGAGCATTGATATCATAACACGAGCCCATGGCAACGTCCAGGTGAGGTGGCTGCTTTAGGCTGATGAGAGTTTTTTGGGTAGAGCTGTCATGATTTGATGGAGAAAATTGAGCTGCTGGGGGCAGCTCTCACTGTGATCAGAGAAACAACGAGAACATCCTAAGGGTTTGAGCTTTTATGAAGAAAGGAAGAGTCCAAGGGACAGGGTACTAATTCATTGAGGTTCAGTGTTCTGCGAAAAGGCACGCACTGACGTGGGCTCGCTGGCATGGCCAGTAGACGCCGCTGGTTTTACTGCTACCCCTAAAGTCACCTTGGGGAGGAGGTGCCTGGTATCCTCTGTTACCCTGAGTGTTGAAGTTCTTCCCTAACCTCAGTTTTTTTTAATTTTATTTTTTTGAGAGAGAGACAGAGCGTGAGCAGGGGAGGGGCAGAGAGAGAGGGAGACGCAGGATCTGAAGCAGGCTCCAGGCTCTGAGCTGTCAGCACAGAGCCCGACACGGGGCTCGAACCCACGAACTGTGAGATCGTGACCTGAGCTGAAGTCAGAGGCTTAACCGACTCAGCCACCCAGGCGCCCCTCCTAACCCCAGTTTTACTTCTTAGGACCGTATTGGCCGCCCCTCAGAGACTGGCATCATTGGCATTATTGACCCCGAGTGCCGCATGATCGGCCTGCGACTCTATGATGGCCTTTTCAAGGTTATTCCGCTAGACCGGGACAATAAAGAGCTCAAGGCCTTTAACATTCGCCTCGAGGAGTTGCATGTCATCGACGTCAAGTTCTTATATGGTTGCCAAGCACCTACCATCTGCTTTGTCTACCAGGTACTGGAGCTGGAGGAGAGAGGGGGAAGCGGTGTGGTTTTGCACAGTGGCAGTTGCTTTCCGCTAATTGGAATGTCTGGATTTGGCAGTAGGGCAGGCAGAGAGTTGAACGTATTTGTCCTTAAATGTTTTGAATGGTATGATTAATATGGGTCAGAATTTGATTGCGTCTTGAGCGCAGCAGTACTTAATGAGGCAGGAAGCTCTCTGGGGCTGGTAGCAGGTTTTAATCCTGAGATTACATTCTTGTGGACCTTGGAGATTTTATAGGGTGACCCAGTTTATACTTTGCCTGAGTCTCTTACCGGCATGCTAGGGGATTATTAAAACTTAGCTGTAGAGCAGTGATCTAGAAATTGCCCCTATAAGCAAAAGAAAAATCATCTTGGCGATGTCTTATCTACGTCTTCTAAGAAGAGGTTTGCATTTTGTCCAGCCCTCACTTTCTGGTGACTTGTTGGCTGTTGACTTCTATTTTGGTCTGTGCCTCAAACTTTAGCCGCGCTGATCC